TGCTTCAGAACCTCAACATAAGGTGATTTCCATGTTAAATGCAGTTTATCATCTTGTCATTTCTTTCTAATTATTGTGTCTTTATACCTTGCATTTGAAGGTGAATATTTAACTGTATGCAACCAGTATAAATACATCACAAGCAAAGAGCATTCAACTGTTGGCAGGCTGTATTTTCTTTCTTTATAGAAATAAAAACTCTCAGGGCTGAGGATAGTATACCCAAAAAGTCTGAATGCTATAAAAAGTAGTCAAGCCTTAGGCAGGACTTGCAAAAAACCAACAATAGTATTTGTGTAGTGCTTAACAGTTTACAAATTGTATTTCTCAAAACTACAGTCCAGCTCCAACCTCACTTTAACAGTAATCACGACAGGTCCTGGGGCAAAGTGCTGCCCTTCAGCCATGAAATGGGCAGAATGAATATAATGCTTACTTTTATAAACTATTTCAGCTTGTTCGTGTATACAAAGTGGAACTGTTAGTATATACAAAATGTGCTTAAATGAGCTACACAAGTGTTAAGCACTGTTAAAAACCTGTCTCCCCCTAAAACATCAAATTCACTAACCACCAGTCTCAGTTAATGGCACCCTTGTCCCCAAAGCACCACTTTGGCCTTTTCCCCTCTGCCCCCATACTTCTTGTCTGAACACTGGCTTCAGGCTGCTCTGCAGCACCCCCCACGATGACAGGTGCCCCCACTCCTGGTGCTCAGGGCCAAGGCAGCTGCTGCTCCCTAATGAACCCATCATTCTCCACTCCCTGCCCTGGCCCAAGTCTCTTCTTTCCTTCCGATGTTTTCTGTTTGAACGCTTTCATCTTCCACAGGCTTTATACTTTTTGCAATAGCAGCTGTTCTTATTTTTTCCTCGCCAGGATGAGTTTCAGGATTGCACTGCTCTGAAAGAGACACAGATCTCGGGTGCACATCACCTCCATTTGAGTGACAAGGCGGCACCTCCCCACCAAGGCAGCATCTAGGTGGGAAGTGTATGTGCAGAGAAAGGGCTGTGGGTGGGGTGGAGATGGATGTGGAAGAAAAGAAAAGATAAAAATCAGGGCCACTATAAGGGAAACTGTAAGGTCAGATAGACTGGCAGAAGGTCAAAGGAGGCAGAGTTGATGCTCCTCAAAAGGAGAAATAGAAAAGAAGGGGTCATGGGTCCCAAGGAAGTCCAAACCTAATGGCAAACAACACTCAGCCTCAAGGCTTGAGAAGAGGCCCTGGGTAGGGGCATCCTGGCCCCACTGAACTAGAAAGGCAGTTGTACCCTTTGAAACTGTTCTGCCCTCTGGGTTTGGGGTGGGACCAGCAGCTCTGGGGTGGGAGGGTGATCTCTGAATAGGTGTGGGGATCTTTTCCCATCTTTCTGTTGTTCTGAAGATAGCGCCTGGCTTCTATTGAGATGTCTGATCCACATACTAGTCTCCTGATCAAATGGTTGTTTGGCTACACTGTTAGTCTTCTCATTTTTTGCAATATGCACAGGCTGAGAATCTTGAAGGTCTGCTGTCTTTTTGCTTTGCTATTCTGCCTTTAAGTCATTTCTCTCTTCTCACATTTCACCATAAGCAGAAAGAACCAAGCCAACCAGCAACACTTTGCTTAGCAATCTCTTCAGCGAAACACCCAGCTTCAGCACTTGCAAAATCCGCCTTTCACAAAAACACTGAAACACGAAGACAATTCAGCCAAGTTCTTGCCACTATATAACAAGGATTGCCTTTCTCCAGCTTCCAATAACACAGTCCTCATTTCCATCTGAGACCTCATCAGAATGACCTTTACCATCCTGCAATTCTATGAAACAATGGTGACATCTGCTGTCTGTGCTTGCCAAATTGCCTTTAAATTCACAGCAATGTAGGCTTTTTCTAACATGTATCTCAAAGTCTTCTGGCCTCTTCCCATAGCCCAGTTCTAAAGCTGCTTCCACATTTGTAGGGATTTGTTACAGAAGCACCCCACTTCTTGGAACCAATTTCTGCCTTAGTCCCTTTGTGCTGCTATAACAAAGATGCCATAGACTGGGTGGCTTAAATGACAAACATTTCTCAAGGTGTCTGCAGATTTGGGGTCTGGTAGAACTGCTTCCTGCTTCACAGATGGCTGTCTTCCCACTGTGTCTCCACATGGTGCAAAGAGGGCTAGAGACCTCTCTGGGGTCCCTTTTATCAGGGCATAGTCCCATTCATGAGGGCCCTACATTCATGACCTTAACTATTCCCCTAAGCCCCATCATATAACACCACCACATTGGCAGTTAGTATTTCAACATGAATTTGAGGGGGACCCTTGGAGTTGCTGGTCTTTTTAATTTAGTCATTCTACTGGGTGTGTGGTGGTATCATTGTGATTTTAGTTTCCATCTGGTATCATTTTCCTTTTGCCTGAATAACTTCCTTGTGCGGATCTGCTATGAAGATCTCTCATGACTTTTGTTTGTCTGAAAAGTCTTCATTTTGTCTTTAGTTTTAAAAGATAGGGAAGGAAACTCGGTGCCTTGATTCCTCTTTCCTGCTCCTCACTGAACAGAATTCCTGTGCATCTCTGCCATGTGGGAGGTGGAATGGAGGTAAGAGGTTTGTGCAGAGCCCCAGCTCCTCTCTCTCTACATGGGACCCTTCCTTAGAGCTTCTTGAAGAATCTGACTGGGTAGTCCTGACTCCACTGATCTTTGTTTGTCCTAGGGGATGGGAGATATATGTGGATTTGTGAGTGGGAGAGGGTGTGAGGAAAGAAGTGTGGGGTTGTGTACAATAGGGTGAGTGTGTTTATGAAACAATGGTGACATCTGCTGTCTGTGCTTGCCTAACACTTCTGGGATAATACTGTTACTTTCTCTTTTGTTGTTTGGAAGTTCTCCTTGAAGTCTAACTGTAGGTCAGACTGTCATTTTCTATGGTTGGGGGGAATGAATGCCATTTCATGACTATGAAAAAACATACAAAGAGTTGGAAACCACTGACTTAGGTCCACGCCACCAGACGCCAGGCCTCCTTTATTTGGCTCCTACCAGCAACTTCACTCACTTTAACATCCTAGCTACTCTCTTGGATGCCAGAGGGCAAATGGAGGGGAACAGAAGAGAACATGGCAGTAGGTCCCCTAAGGATTGCATAGCAGTCGCTTTCTTCTCTTAGTGCTGGTCCTGGGTCCCCCATGCCTGGGGACAGAGAGGGGTGTTAGAGTTGAAGTTTAGCAGGGCAGCACAGAGAGCCCAACCGTATCAACCTCCTGTCTCACAGAAGGGCAACATGTAATCCATGTGGGGGGAGTAGCTTCATCTGTGCGCCCCATCGTGGTTTTGGGGAGGGGCAGGGCAGTGGCTAGCCCCCTGGTTAGAAAGCCAAAAGCTCCTGTGGAGTTTCATCACGCTAATGTGGGTGGCCAGCTTCCAGCTGGATCTCCTCCGCTCCCTCTCACTCCCCTTCATCCCAGGAAGGCTGGGAAGCCTGGGGCGATGGGCACCAGGGAGCTGCGCCAAATCTCATTTGGAGCCCTCGGCCGGCGTAGACCTCGCTTTCGTGGAGGAGACGCCTGCCCAGCCAATCGTCTGCCTTGGCGCCGCACTCTCCACGCTCATTCCCGTTGCTTGGCGGTTTTGGAGGTGCTGGCCAACTCCGGGAGTCATTCCCCTGCGCTGCGAGACAGCCTCGTCTTCCGCCCCGTGTCGGGGAGAGCTCGCTCAGGTCCCGCTGGAGCTCCAGGTACACCAGAGCCAGTCTCGGCCTGGAGCGCCCTCTGGCGGTGCTAGGCGCCAGGCCTGGGATTGAATGAGCAGGACATTGCCTGCTAGACGGCGAAGCTCCGAAACCTTTCTGCCTGGCGTGTTACCTAGACTCCCTCCAAGTCCAGCACTACGCCTCAGGCTGATGCCGAATAGGCACAGGGCAGCCTTAGACAGCTGCTGGGACCAGAATGGTAGCGGTCCAGGGACGGCCAAGGTGCGGCCAAGGGTGACTTCGTCAATGTGAACATTTAGTTGTTGGTCCTGGAGTCATATCTGCCTTTCTTCTCTTAGCTAGTCACTGCCCAAAGGAGTTGTACTGGTTTCCTTGGTTTCTTGGTGGTTTACCAACCTCATTGCCATCACAGCTGAGCCACCTCCCTTCCTGGACATTGAAGCAGGAGGGGTGCAGCTGTGCATGTGGGGTTGGAGCCCTGGTTAGGTTGGCTGTCCTCAGGGCTTGGAGGAAGAGGAGGGCTCCCAATAAAAAATGGCTTTGTCTATTCCTAAATAAAGCCTGAGGTGGCATTCAAGGCCCATCATAGTTCACCTGTCTGGACTTGTTAGGCCAGGATACCCACCTTTGGGCCATTGGTCACTCATCTGTTCCCTGGCTGGGACTAAGGAAAAGTGGGAAGCCTAGGATGTAAAAAGTGCAGGCTAGCACCAGCAAGACCCTGAGACTGAGTTTCTTCCCTTCCACCTTTCCATCTTGCCTGCACTATAAGCCTTGAGCTCCCAGAAGGCGGACTGTGCCTGCTACTCCCCAGGTAGCCTCCCATCCCAGCGTCTAGCAGGGCAGAGCTCACGGAGCTCAAGAAACATTTGTCCACATTTGTCATGGCCAAACTTTCCATCTTTCTTTCCTGTTGAGAAATATGGCCCAGGCTGGGAAGAATACGTGACCTAATGGATTCTACTTCGGCCAGTGTCTGGACTTTTTTGTTTTGTGCGAGGAGAACCCCATGCTGGTATGAGATTCAGAAAATCCAAGCCAGAAAGTAAAGGGCATTTGTCCCACGAATTCTTTTTACATGCGGTGGAACAGAACCGGACAGTGACGATGATTTGCTTCAAGTCACCCGGCCACGCAGAGGCAGGGACAGGGCTACATAAATTCTTCCACGACGTGACCTATCCCGGAAAACGTACTGGATGCGCATCGAGTGTATCGACTTTTTACTTATCGAGCCTGGAACCATGAGCAGGCCCGATCCATTGCTTTGACTGCCAGCAAGTGCTGCTCACCGATTGGTCCTGGTGAGGAAACGGAGAAAAGTGCACGTGGGAGCCGAGGCCGCCCAGGCGTGTCCGGGTGGGGGCCTGTTCCCGGAGAAGCCATGGCGTCGCTCAGTTGTAGCACCGTCGTCTGCGTGATATGCTTGGAGAAACCCAAATACCGCTGCCCCGCCTGCCGCGTACCTTAGTGAGCTCGGGAGGGCGAGGATGGGGGCCGAGTGTTGGGCTTGGCTGGGGCTACGGGGCTGCGGGAGGGTCCACGTGGCCGTCGGGGCTGACGCGGGCCGTGCACTCTGTTACAGCTGTTCGGTGACTTGCTTCCGGAAGCATAAAGGTAAGGCCCCGGCATCCCTGCCCCAGCCCTGCGTCCCGCCCTGTGCGGGGCAGCCCTCGCTCCCTGCCGGCGTCTCGGTGCCGCGCTCCCTCCGGGCCTCGCCCGCCCGATCCTGTGGGAGGGCCTCTGCCTGTGAGTGCATCTCCGGATTTTGAACATTGAGAAACTTCTGCTCTGACTTTCCTTCTATGTACCGTCCTTTTTTTTTTCCCCCTTAAAAATAGGCGACTATCATGACCGCAAAAGTCGACCCTGGCTCTTTCTTCATCTTAGTGTTCTGACGCAGCCCCTCATTATTGGAAGAAGCTGGATGGCTAAAGTTAATGTTTTCTTTTTTTAAAAAATAATGTCTTGTTAGAACAGTGAGGTATTAGAGAGAGATGTACTGCAAGGAGCGATGCTGTTGGCTGTTAATGTTGTCAGCTCTACATTTTAATTCTTTCTCCAATCCCGCACTTCGTCTCAGTACCCGGGGACCCTTTCCACTACCTCATGCTTCCTACTGTGACATTAAACTTCCCCATTGCTGCTTCTACTTCATCCCCTCCGGTCTTTGGCCCTGTTGTTTTTTTTTTAAACCTTAGTATCTGGAGCATTTTCAGCTCAAGATAGATAGAATCGCTTTGTTGGAAATGGGGTTGGGGAGCCGTGCCTGGACCACTTCCCTCTAGCCCTGCAGCCCTGTGGGGTCCCTCCACGAACCCCTAGGTCAGGCAGGAGCTCTTATCTGGTCCTGCTACTGCCAGGGTGATTTTTCTGAAATGTAAATTAGAGTAATTCACATCCACGTTGAAAACCCCTCTCTCTAGCAAAGGAGGTCAGTGGTTGTTAAGCTGGGTATTGCTCTTTCTAGGGAGACAGAGGTTCATTCACATTGTGTTTGTTGTCACTGTCGTTGAGGAGGGGTTGGCTGTACTGAGGTTTCTAGGGAGACAAGGTCACATTGGGTTTGTTGTCACTGTCGTTGAGGAGGGGTTGGCCGTACTGAGGTTTCTAGGGAGACAGAGGGTCACATTGTGTTTGTTGTCACTGTCGTTGAGGAGGGGTTGGCCGTACTGAGGTTTCTAGGGAGACAGAGGGTCACATTGTGTTTGTTGTCACTGTCGTTGAGGAGGGGTTGGCCGTACTGAGGTTAACTGGTATTGACTCAGACATACTGCAGGAGTCAGACTATCCTACAGCATTAAATACCTTTCTGCCCTAATACAGCAGCACCCTTGCTGAGAGACTCTGTCTTGGGAAGAAAGGTGAACCTCCCTTGTGTTGTGGTCTTTTGCTGCTTCTGCTTGTGCCCCAGCCACCTGCCAGGCCTGCCTTGCTAATCAGCTGGCAGTTGCTCATCACCGTCTCCTTGCGTTTGCCCCTATTCTTTCAAGGGTCGGGTCCTGCTATAGACCCCTCTGCCAGGAATGCACTCTCCACCTGGCAACACCTCTCCCTGCCAGACTCCTCTTGGTTGGCTTCTTGGCTTTCTCACATGAATTAGATCAGACTCATTTTATCCGTGTTTCTAGCTGTCAGCCATAAGACTGAACCCCTCTGAGAGGGGCCTGAGGACTTTCACATGTGTATTCCCAGTAGCACATGGTGCATGCAAATTTGTTATCTGAAACTGCTGAGAAAATAGTTTGATGCTAATTGAAAATAGTGTGCCACTTGATTGTGGTGAAAGCCACAATTAGGGCAGTGAGGAAGGGGACAGACCCTACAGATGCATGAGGTCTGTTCCCTCAGCCCTTCCACCAGGCCCACGATGGCTTGTTCTTTTTCTTATACTGCCCCTTGATCTGATCTTTCACATTCTCTCTATCCATCTCCACCCCACTCATAGCCCTTACCCTGCACATACACTTCCCACCTAGATGCTGCCTTGGTGGGGAGGTGCCGCCTTGTCACTCAGATGGAGGTGATGTGCACCTGAGATCTGTGTCTCTTTCAGAGCAGTGCAATCCTGAAACTCATCCTGGCGAGAAAAAAATAAGATCAGCTGCTATTGTAAAAAGTATAAAGCCTGTGGAAGATGAAGGTGGGTTAACTGACTTCAAACAAACAAAACCTGGGAAAGGGTTCAAATAGAAAACATCGGAAGGAAAGGAAAGAAGAGACTTGGGCTGGGGCAGGGAGTGGATAATGATGGGTTCATTAGGGAGCAGCAGCTGCCTTGGCCCTGAGCACCAGGAGTGGGGGCACCTGTCATCAGGAGGTGGGGGGTACCACAGAGCAGCCCGAAGCCAGTGTTCAGGACAAGAAGTATGGGAGCAGATGGGAGAATGGCCAAAGTGGTGGTTTGGGGGTGAGGGGTGGACCTTGCTGTTGAGAGTCTTCAGTCACGGCTTTTCAGGTCTACAACCATGGGCCTGGCTGGGGCTGTCAGTTCACCTGAGCCGGGTCCAGCAGGGAGATTGCTTGTGGCCTAGGTCGCCTGCTGCTGCTCTGGGTTTCTCATAGCTTATAGCAGGAGCGTGGGCTGCTATCCCAGCCAGCCAGCCAACCTCTCCTTTAATACCTTATGGGTGTCATGCACCATGCCAGGCTCTGAAAGCAACCCCTCCTGGCGCCACCAGAGGTATTGAACATTCACACCAAGGGGATCGCCCGTTTCTGCCCTTTGAGAAGCTTGTTGGGTTCAGGCAGTGCCAGAAATTTGTCCATGCTGAAAGCACAGGGGATTCACATTGGCAGGTTTTTATAGAGGATCTAAGTTTTTGGCTCATAACAGGGCTGGAGCCATAATGAGGGGAAGTAGGGTGATAAGAATTGGAGTCAGGCTCTAAGCCCAAAGACCAGAGAAACATAGTGTGTGAATACTTAGATGCATTTGTTAGACCCACCAGTTCTTTCACTTCCCTAAGAGTGTTGTGCAGTCACAAAATTCCAGAGAAAAGAGGTTATTTTTGTTTTGTCTGTGCCTGCTTACACACCTGTTACTGTATGTGTGCATGTGTTTATTAGAGTAGGTAAAATCTGGTCCTCGGCTTTCATTTTAGTCACAGTTATATATATTTGTGTTAATTATATGTTATATATATATATGTGTTATATATTCTTTAGATGACGATGACTCTGTAGGTGATTTTCTCAATAGTGATGAGGAAGAAGACAGAGTTTCTTTGCAGAATTTAAAGAATTTAGGTAAGCCTATGCTGTGCTTGTTCATTTCTTTGTCAACTATTGAGATACATGTAATCTATTGTGTAGAATGTAATTTTTTGAAGTTCTTAGTTTGTCATGGCAGGCAGAACCCTTCCCACAACCACATGATTCTGTGGACGCCCAGGGCTTCCACGCCTCCCTGCTATAAGGCCATTGGGATCCTCCTGCTGGCTTTGTGAGTGAGCAAAATTCTCTTTCAGGGCTTGATTCAGTTTTTCTTTCTTCAACTAAACTTTTCTTGATCTTTTGTCTCTCTCATTCCCTCACTCTCATAGGCACTTCTATAGCAGCTTCCCATGGTGCCTTGTAATATCTTATCACATTTTATGGCAATTTCTCTCACCAGTCTAGGTCAAGGGCTGCATTTATTCCCATGTCCCTCATGCTCAATTTATAGTCCAGCCATTAATGCAGATTGGGTGATCCCAGGAGTTGACTTTTTAAGGGGATGTGGCTGTTAATATGCCCAGCATTTTGTAGGACAGCTCAGCGAGTCTTTATAGCAGTTATAGGTATGTAAGTAATGGTTGGAAGAGTTCCTAAAGGTGGTCATTACTTTGATTCTTCCCATTTCAGTCAGGCTGACTTGGGTGCTTTGCACCCAGTCCTGTGGTAGTAATTAGACCAAGGGTGGAGCTGAGCTGTGGAGAGCTGTGAGCAGTCTCGTGAACTCAGGCACCATACAGATGTGTCAGTTCACTGCTACCGATCCTGCTTCACAGGGATCAAGCACTTAAACTTACGCCAAGTATTTGGTATAACTGTCCTCACCAGGAACCTTCATGCCTGTGAAAACATGTCAACAACTTACCATTGTTGCTCTCTATCTGTACTGGTAAAATATATTTTTAGCTTGAATGACATAAAGCTAAAATATTTCTAACAGTACCAAAAAAAAAATCTGTGGTAATGTTTAACTTGAAAATAACCCGATTAGCTGATCTCACCTTGTTTATATGAAGCATTGGGTTAATTTGCAGGTTTAAAGGTTAAGGGGATTTTTGATTGAAGACCAATATTCTTGATGTATTACACTTGAAACACTTGGCTTTTGGTTATCTCTACCTGTTCTCACTTAAAGACCGATTGGCTTTCTTTCCTTGTTAATTTTTAGGGGAGTGTGCAGCATTAAGAAGCTTACTGCTCAACCCACACCTTAGAGAGTTGATGGTCAGCCTTGACCAGGGGGACAACAAGGCAAAGCTCATGAAAGCCTGCATGCAGGAGCCTTTGTTCGTGGAGTTTGCTGACTGCTGTTTAAGGATTGTGGCACCGCCCCAGAACGAGGATTCCTAAAGCGGATTTATTATGCTACTCAGTCAGGCTTCTGCTTGACTCAGAATCTGCCTGCTCCCTCTTATAGGAACCCAGCTAGTATGGGGCCCTGAGCAAGTGATTTTCAGGATGAAGACCTGCTGACATCGGGTAGGCCATGCACAGCTTCACCTCCCTTGATGTGGGCTTGTCTCAGGCACATGGGGGCACTCAGTGTGGCAAACCCTTTATGGGAAGAAAATTTGACATTCAGATGGTTGTTTTTAAATGTTTAATTTTTGGTACAGTTAAGATAGACATCATGAGTGATATTTATCAAGTTTCACACCCATTTGAGTTAAAACTTGCTCAGTTAATAAAATCAAGGCATGGTTGTATGGTACACTGCATTGCTCATTATAGGTTTATAAGCGAATGCTTGAAATTACATTAAATAAGTCAACAATGTATTAAATAGTAAAGTTTTGTTCCCTTTAAGGAACTAAATGCAGAATTCTGCCAGCCAAAACTTTAGAGCTAATATCAAGCTGACTTCCCTGCTGGTGGGGACCAGGGGGTGCCTCACTGTCCTGATGGACACTGCTGAGTTATCTGTGAAGGTAGTGAAGTATAGTGGAGTTCTCCGTGGCCCTGATGTTTTCTTAGCCTTGGCTGGTACTAACCCTGACGACTGTCAGGGCTTGAAGTGCAGACAGGAGCCCAGCCCAGTGGTGCAGTCACTGCTGCAGCCCTTGGCATGCAGGTGGCAGCATTGCCTCTCGTGTGGTTGGAGTCACTGTGGGAGATTGATTAAATGTCTTTGGCAAGGCAGCTGGCAAGAAAAGGCCTTAGAGAATAAAGGCACCAGTGATCACCCAACTAGGTGAGGATGGAAGGTGAGAGATCACACGTGGCCCAGCCTGTCATTCCAGCAGAATCTGATTAAAGCCAGTAACGCTGTAGGGTGAAGGCTCAGGGCAGATGTCAGCATAGCGCAGTGGAGACTTTCTGCAGTGAAACTTTATGGAGCCCTGGGGAGAGAGGCAGCTTAATTCCAGCTCCCAGGAGAGCTGGGGGCCTAAAGGCACCTTACAGAGCAAATGCTAGAAATGCTGAGAGGTGTGGACAAGCAAGTGTGGACAGTCCCTGACTTATGATGGTTCAAAAGCACTTATGTATTTGGTAGAAACCATACTCTAAAATTTTGAATTTGGATCTTTCCCTGGCATGATACTTGGGGTGCTGGGCAGTGGCAGCCAGCCACAGCTCCCAGCCACCCACACGAGCATGAGGGCCAATAACTGCTGTACTTCAAACCATTCTCCTGTTAACTTTAAGTGGTATTCAGTAAATCACATGAGGTATTCACTTTATTATGAAAGAGGCTTTGTATTAGGTATTTGCCCAACTGTAGCCTCGTGTAAGTGTTCTGAGCACATTTAGGGTAGGCTAAGCTACGATGTGCAGTATAGGTGTATTAAATACATTTCGACTTCCAGTGTTTTCAATTTGTGGTGGGTTTATCAGGTGTAACCCGATTGCAAGGTGAGGATGATCTGTGCTGGTATGAGTCACAGCAGCAGCAGGATTGAGTTAGTAATCAACATTCTCCCCTCATTTTAAAACAGTGGCAAAGTAATAAAGCTGTATTAAAATGTAACACTTCCCATCCATTCAGTGAGACAGATGAAAACACTAGAAGAGAGCTCTCCCCTACTGGGAGTATCACCTGTGATTCTTACAACTGCTTAAAGCTGGAAGATCAGACAGTGTTTCCACCTGGCTAGCCCATGCGTCGTTGTCCTATTGTAATTCCACTGGTAAGAAGTTCAGTGTTTGCTTCCAGCAGCCTTGTCACTTACTCCTGGGCTGTGACCCCATGTACTAGGTTGAGTATTAGCCCTTTTAATATGCTGGCTTTCTCCCTGGCTGCCCATAAAATAAAAACAGAGCATGTGGACCACTTACTCACCCACTTGCTATTTCTTCAGCTAGAATGGGAGATAAACCAGGTAATACCACTGGAGGAAACCTGGTGCTAAACCCAGTGCCACTGGAGGGAGTAAACCTTTATGAAAGCCCACAATTTTTGAAAGTGGGACTCAATTAAAAGACTCAGAGGTGATGCTAGAACCCTTAAAGGTAGTTTTTAATAAGTAAAAAGACTCTGGGGAATTCCTAGTTGTAATGGTGGAAACAATCCAAACCTGCAGCCAGGGGGGAAGCCCAGGCTTCCGGCTTCCCTGTGGAGCCAGGCTGCTCCTGTCCCAGCCTGTCATGCCTCCTGCCTTCTGTGGTGGGGTGTGAGGGACCCGGGGCTGCTGTGGGCAGGACTGCCATCCCATCACAGCTTACCTGAGGCCGTGCTCGGATGGATGCCACACCAGCTTGTTTTTGTTGTGCTGTCTGGACGCTGCAGCTACTGGGGCTGCTTGTGGGAAGCTGGAGGCAGGCCCTGACCACCAGTTTCCTCTGAAAGCTGTGTACACCCACAGCTGTGTTGGCCAGGACGAGCCCCAGCGGCCAGAGGTGGATTATTGCCCCCAGGAGCCTGGTCCGTGCCTGGGGCAGTGGGAAGGAGCTCTGGGAAAGGGAAGCTTGAGACAAGTGTTTTTCTTCCACACCATCCAGTTCTTCTGAAGCAAGGAAGGCCATTCTGATCTTAAAAAGAGGACACTACTTTATAGCTTTTATTAGCTCTCTTAATGGAAAATGGAAACCAAAACCATCTTTAATAAATCAGCTTAATAAAGTGAACTGACAGGCCTGGCTGTGAACACTGGATGCCTTCAATGGACTGGCTCCACGTGCTTAATTTAAGCCTTACATATGCTACTTTATGGTGCATCAGTGAGATCTCAATAAGGCTGTTAATTTTTTAAAGTTCAGCCTTGAAGGTATACAATCCCATGGTTTTCAGTATGTCCCAGAGTGGCCTGTGCCACGCATTCATTACAGGGCACTGCCAGCCTGCAGTGTAGGTGGTGCTAGGCTGTCTTACATGAGCAACATGGCGCCATGCACTTGGCAGTGGCAGGGCCCAGGTTCCTACCTGGGTCCTTCTGGCACCAGAGCACCCACTGCCCACCCTGACTTTTTGAGGCACCAGGACACCCACTGCCCACCCTGACTTTTTGAGTCAGATACTCACTCTCCACTTCTGCCAGGCATGCTTGATGACCGTGGCAGCCATATGCAGCCTCTGGACGTGTTTCCGAGTTAACCAGGAACGAATGGCTAAAGGGTTTACCCAGACAGGGGAGGGAGAAGTGTTTCTCAGAGCTGTGCTGACCTGGCTCTGTAGCAACACCAGAGCTGCTGCAGAAGTTGGGCAGAGGTAATTTTTCAATCAATGTCTACTTCCTGCCACTACGTAAACTAAGGTACTCAACTCAATACGTAAAGCAAAACTGGCTCTGAAAACACCCGCAGACTTGGAGGTAGCTACACACTGAAGGGGCCGCTGGAAGCAGGCTCATGTCCGCCTCAGCCTTAGTCTGGGGCAATGCCCAGAGAACAAGAGGCATCTGAACTGTCTGTATCTTTAAGAATTTTTTTTTTTCTTGGAAAGCCTCAGTTAAATTTGTTTGCCTTACGAATGCATGAATAACACTTCCATACACGCACATGCTGGTGAAGGTAAACACCATCTCTTACCTCACCAGCCTAGGCAGTCATAGTGTTTCCCTGTACCATTTTTTTAAGCCTTTACACAGAAACCTTACAATGGTGGTGTCATCTAGGTTTGAACAACATATTGGAAATGGTTTTCCATTCAATTAAAAATGTTCTTCATAAAGACTTAGTAGCTGCATTATAAGAATGGTCCCTAATATAGCAGTAACTTCATCACTGTCAGGTATTCGGGTTGTTTCTAAGTATATTTTTCAAAACAAGACTTTGAACATGGTTCCTGTATCTCTTCCTTTGAGGAATCAAATCTTGTTTTTACCTTCTATAACTAGATACAAGCCCCAGAGCCCAAGAGGTAATGACTTATCATGAAAGAAAGGCAGCATAAACAGCTATCTAAGTCTGGAAAAGAGGAATTAAAGGCACATTTTTAGCCTCTGCTATGAAAGAATGCCCTTATGTGGCATGACCTGGTTTCACCGAACTGGCGAGTGCTCTGGGTGAGATGCGGGGAGTTCCAATCCCAGCACCCCACAGGATGTGCCATCATCTGGAGGCTAGGACAGTTTTGGCATATGGGGACTTAGGAGCAGCATTTCAAAGGGAGCAGGTATGTAGGGTTCGTGCATTCACTGGTGGTGACCGGCCAGGGCCCCGTCCAACCTACCTGCCTGGATGAGCACGGCAGCCCGCCTCTGCCTCTCCAGCTTGCGGAGCTGGTGTCGCCTCCAGCCACCCTGGATGTGGCGGGCACACCGCTCCAGCACCTGGGCACGCCCATGTTCCAGAAGCTGCAGCTGGGAGAAGGGGCATCCACCGAGGTCCTCAGCCTCTCCTCCCTCCGCCCTGAGGAGAGCATGCGGCTCGTTCCTATACTCCCCGCTTCTCACCCCAAACCAGCTTACCATGCAGTCAGTCATGAACACCTTGGTCCTGCCGCAGTGCACCGGGGCTGGTGTGGGCTCGGCTGGGCCATCAGATATGGCTGCTGCCCGAGGCAGAGCTGGCAGAGCATGGAGGATATCCTGGAGAAGAGGCTGCAGCACGGTCTCCTTGCTGTGCGGAGACCGTTCTGGAGGATGGGAGACGGCCCGTCAATCCTTGGGGCACCTGCACACTGATCTTAAGACCCTGGTCTGGTCTCCCCAGCATTCCACAGGCTTCTTTCCTGCTGTTCCTGCTTCTAACCATTTCCCCCTCCTTCCTTTTTTTTGGGAATCCAGAGCCCCCCCACATTGTCCCTCAGGCCCCTGGCTGTTCTGAGGAATCATAGAGTCTGTACTTGTGGTCGTGCCCTGGACTGGCCTGCAGCTGCCATTCTGGGGTCCCTTGGGGAGGTGGTAAAGGTCACTCTGATGTGGAGTCCCAGGCTCCTCACCCAGCATTTGTTTCGAAGGCCCAAACATGCTGAGGGTCAAACAGGGCAGCTGGGTCACACCCTCAGCCCCTGACCTATTCCCCACCACGGACGGATGGGAAAAGGGGGAACAACCCCCATCTCGTGGAGGCTCAGCAGGTTCCCCTGCCTGCCCTCCCACATCTCTCAAGGCTGACTCCTGTAGAGGGAGGATTTACCTGAGGGCTTTGGCCACCTTTAGCTGCCCAGTGCCTCTCTGGAGACAGAGGCTGCCAAAGGAGATGCCGCAGATGAGAAACAGCAGTAAAACCAAGCAGGGGCTAGGGGGGCTTTGGGTAAGAGAGACAGAGCGGTAGAACAAACCATGGAGAGATGGGGAGAAGAGAGACAGGGAGAAAGAAAGGAAAATGAAAAACTGCCTGAGATGAGAAAAACAAAAGTGGAACTGTCCCACCTGGTCTGCTGGGCCCAGGGTAAGGCTGTGTGGTAGGGTCAGCGGCTGCTGTGCTGGGTCCCACTGGGCAGGGGCTCAAGCCCTGCCCTTGGCCTCTTCTCAGCCTGTGCTGGGGCCTTATCACTCTCTCCCAGAGCCCCTGAATCAGGGCCACAGGCCAGAGCTTTTCCCTGAGATCAGTTTGCCGAGTGCCTTGCAGACATCTCTGCTGGATGACTTCAGGGACCTGGGGCTTGGGTGAGCCCAGTAGGGCTCAGCAGCTTCCCCCAAACCTTCCCCACTGGCCAGGCACAGGCAGTTCCCTCTTTCCTCTCCCTCTACATGTAATCAGACACTTGCCAAATTCTGACCAATTTCTTGCCACTGGTTCCTGACCATGCCCACATCTGCTGCTCTCAACTATGGTCTACCCAAGAACTTCACTCCCATGGCCTGCCATGGGGTCCCCACAACGGGCTCCAGAAAGGACGAGGCTGACATCACTCCCTTCGTCCCCTGAAGTGCCTCCAATCTGCCCAGAGAAAAGCCCAGCTTCCATGACTGGGCCCACCTGTCACCCTAGCCTCACCTCCTAGGAGGTGCCAGCAACACTGAATGGCCTGGAGTTCCTCACACACACAGTGCTGTCTTCTGTCTACAGGCCTCATGACTCTGTCATGTGGAAGGCCCTTCACTTGGCTAATCCCATCTAGCCTCAGGTATTACCTCCTCTAGGAAGCCCTCCCAGATTCACACCTCCCTAGAACCAACCACAGTATCCTATTCCTGCCTCTGCCTTTCCATGTTCCCCACTGTTTGTCTTTTGTCTGTTTCCCCCATTGGACCAAGAACCATGAACAATGAGGGTAGGGCTGTTTTATTAATCTCTAAACCCAAGATGGCCCAGGGTAGGTACTCAGTACTAACAGTGGCTGAACAGATGACTGGCAAATGGTCTCCACTCACCTGAGCACCCTTCAGCAGGAGATGGGTTTTGGGGGCTAAGGGATGTGCGAGGACAGAGCATTCTCAGTAATTCATATCGTTCCACAAAGTTCTGGTGAGAGACCCTGAA